GACTGGGTGATCGTCGCGCATCTAGGTAGGCGCTGCGAGTCATCGGGGGTGGGATGTCGCGAGAACCCGTCTGAAAGCTCGGATCTGTGCGTCCGGAGATGACTGAGCCCTCCACGCCGCTACGCAGAATACTGCCTTCATCAGAGAAAGCGTAGCTCGACAAATCCGCCTGGCGCAAGGCGGAGGCGCTCCCGTTTCGTCCAAGTTGAGCCTGACGTTGCTGGTGGTATTGCAATCGTCTCACATGACTGCTCATTTTTCGTTTGTTGTGATATGGGGGAGGCTACAGGACTGAAATGTGACATGTATGATGGATGAGAAAACAAGTTCAAGAGAAAAAGAAACATGTGCAGAGGAGATTTCAGTTCTTGTAATGGAAACTTCGCAGTGTGGCATCTTTAAAATCTTGACAGGACTTGGTTTGCGTGTCGCCGACGTTATGTTTTGTGATGAGTTGCTCGTTGCAAAATAATTTCAACGTTCTCGTTTGCTCATCCGCCGGATCCTGTGATATCACTTAACCCACCTGCTTTTCGGCAACAGAAATGGGGCTAGTTCTCAACCAATGAGGTCGAGCATCGATTTTTTGCACGTGAGAGACGTGTGAAATGGACGAATAAAGGTAATCTATGAAAACGACGGCTCTCTCGTAGTGGACACCTTTGTCGGAATACATCCTCCCGATTTTCTCCGATGTGGGTACGTCGATTACGATCATGTCAGTTTGTGCTGTTATAGTTTCTGGCCTTAGTAAAAATATGCTTCTAATAATCCTTGAGTTATTGGTTCAAGCCCAGTTTAAGTTATCTATAAGTTCTCGACAGCAGCGTTCGTACATCACGCCTGATATTAAAACTAAACACGAGTGTTCCGGTTGGTTTTAGAGCTCCGGTCTCATGTTCTCTGCTATTCTAGTAAACGTCTTCCGTGACGAACGCCCCGGGATCCACGTCGCCATCAAGGTGGACTGCCAACTCCTCAACCAGCGACGGATGCACTTCCAGTCGCGTGCATTCACAACTTCCGTCCATGAACTGCTCTTCGCCGACGACTGCGCTCTCAACACTACCTCCGAGGGGGACAGGCAAAGGAGCATGGACCTCTTCGCCACCGTCTGCGACAACTGCGGCCTGGTTATCAACACGGAGGAGACGGTGGCTATGCATCAACTGCCACTCGACACTACCCACATCGCACCCCAAATCAGCGTGAATGGCGTCCAACTGCAAGTCGTGGACAACTCCACCTACCTGGGTAGCACCATCTTTTGCAACACCAACATCGACGATGGAGTGGCCCGCCAGATTTCGAAGGCCAGCCAGGCTTTCCTCTGTCTGCAAAACACAGTATGGAATCGACAGGGTCTCCAGGTCAGCCAGCACTTCCGCCTCAGCTGTCTCTGACGGATACTGAAGCTGAGATGGTAGGAGAGGATGCCCGACACGGATGTATTGGAGCGGACGGGAATCCTCAGCATATACGCCATGCTGAAACAACTGCAACTGCGCTGGAGCGGCCATTTGGTGCGCATGGACGACGAGTGGCTACCAAAACAACTCTTCAGTAGAGATGTCGCCACGGGTACCTACGAGGAGGTTAAGTCTGGCGCCACAAGGATACCCTGAAGAGTTCCCTGCAGCGTCTGAAATTGACCCGGCCAACTGGGGAGACATCGCCCGGGACCGATCTACCGACCTGGAGGAGGACAGTGAAGAGTGACGGAGCAATCCTCGAAGTCAACCACGTCATTGCTGGCAAAGCCAAACGAGAAGCTCGCAACATCAACTGCCCCCGCCTCGCATCGCTAACTCTTAACCGTTCCCCATCTAACCGCGATAACAGCGCACGTTCCGGGCACCAATCGGTCTCACTGAACATATTCGTACCGACTGCAACACCCGTACGACGCCACCCGATGTCCTTCCGCCCACCTCTGCCTCGCCCCCCCCCCCCCTACGCCGGAAATTAACACTGACCGCACTCCTGAACTCCCCGACTGCCATCATCCTCCGTCACCTCAACATCCGCTGCGACGGCTCCTGCACCCACCGCCACTGCACTTAATCCTAACACACCGACAAACATCAACCTCACCACCGCCAACACTAGCGACGTGGAGTCGGTCCATACCTGTCCGCATTACGACCGCATCTTCACCTCACACGTCGGCCTGGTCGGCCACTTGTGAATCCGTCGCACAGAGACTGGCGAAGTAGTGTCTGGAGCACCCACATACACTAGCCGCATCCGCCTCTACTGTTCACACTGTCCCAACACATTCACTCACCGCATGAGCCTTGTAGGGCACATGCGCATCCGGGAGAGCAGAAAACGCCACGGTCTCGAAAAACCTCGCACATCCTGCCCACCCGCCATGCCTAACCAAGCGCACAGCCCACCGTCCAGCGCGCTCCCCACCAGCAACTCCGTCACCATCACCGAAACTGACAATGACACCACCGGTCTATTCTGCCCACACCGTCCCCGCCTCTTCACCTCACACATCAGCCTGGTCGGTCACTTGTGAATTCATCGCACAGAGACTGGCGAACCAGTGCTTGGAGCACCAGTATACACCCTACGCATCCGCCTCAACCGCCCTTACTGCGCCCCCATATTCACTCACCGCACGGGTCTATTAGGCCACGTGCGCATTCATAACAACCTGCTGTAGACAACCGCCGGCAACACCACACCATCGCATCTTCTCCCACCTACAGTACACAACATCATCGCCCACCACAAGCATCCAACTGTCACTTTCCACGCAATTAGGAAATATGCGTCTCGGCTCCGTCATCATGCGACCCCTCTGCTGCGTGTGTGATTCGAGTCTGAGACTATTACGGCACGTCAAGCATGTTGGCGTGGAAGGCTGCTGACTGACGCCAACCCAGTCCACGCAGTCTGCTCAGTTGTGTGTGTTTGTGTGGAGTAGCGGACTGGTGGGCTAGGAGCCAGGCCGTCACAGCTCCTTTTTGAAGTGATCTCTGGCACTCTCACGCATGTGAGATGCATGCCGCCCAACCCCCGTTGTGTGAAATCCTGGTGCTTGTGTTTGAGGGGGCCAGGTCGTGCACGTGGCGTGCGCAGACGAGGTCACTAGATATGTCAGCCAACGTGCCCATTCCCCGTACCTGTCAACTGACCTGCTCCGACAGTGGCTGGAGCCTGGGCATGGGAAGGAGGTGTGAGGTCAACGACACAGCGCATTCTCTTCACTATAAACAGTCTGACACGCTTGAATCTATCACGGTGCGCTAAAAGCCGTGACTTGGAAGGTTGTCAACTGACGGGATAACTTGGACCTCGCAGTCAGCTCAATGTTTTGTGTGGAGTGGCCGAATGGTGGTCTGAGCGTCAGCCTGCAAAGGCTCCTTCTTAATGTGGCCTTTATGGCACTCCCACTCCGTGGGATCCGACCCAGGTTTGACGGCACGCCTAGGTGCAGCCTCGGCCGCGCCAGTCCCTTCTGTTGTTCTTGGTCAAAACCTGACCATTTATTGTGTGAACCAGGAGGTGTGTAGTGGAGCGCCAAGGTGTGGGCTCGATCGTCTCCGCCACCTGCGTCCTCCCTCGTCCCCAGTCTTCTCGACACCGGATCCAGGTGGGGGAGGAGGAGAAGAGAGTGCGGTAGATGCTGTGCAAATCCACTACCACTAGAAGCTAATTCACGCACAAATCACTGTCTCTGCTTCATTCTGCTGTGATGAACACGGTGGACGTCGTCGAAACGGATGGCTGGGCTGTCATTTAAGTACAAAAATACCCGTGACACAGAGTCGTTGATGTTCAAAGTCGAGATAGTTTTCTTTTTTTGAACGATTGTATACCAATTGCCCTTCAAGTGCTCTGCGTCCAACCGAGACTCCTAACCTGTCCTGCGCGAACCCAAACTGTGAACTAACAGGCTATAAGATCTCGCCTTATAAAACATTAAATTATGTTTGAACTGCTTAATAGCCTCGGTAAGACGGGATATCCTCTTTTTCGGCATGTTCTATCCGTCTAGCGATGCGTCGGTGCACATTCCTCAAACTCCTGTAGTTGACTAGAGATTATAAATTTCGTCTGAATGTGTCACTTCGAAGGGGCCTGTTATTGTCAAACAATGCCCCAAGTGCCCTGCTTCCATTTAGGCGATTATCTTACTTGTCAAGTGGATTCCCCACGGTAGACAAAGAAAGCCCTGAATGACGAAGGAATCTGAAATTTTTAGCACGTACCAGTAACAACCATGAAGGAAGCATCAAACCTGCTCTACATAGGAGGATTGGGGATTTTCCCGTAAGACATCGAAGTATCGGCTGAAGAAATTGCAGGTCTCCCATAGCGTCCAAGATAAGGAGCATTAGTGTTTGATATAGCCGGAAGGGGGGGGGGTATTTAAGAGTTTGCGCATGTATTAAGACAAGTTGCAACAGCAGTGAATTAGTCAGATTCGCTGGTACCGACAACCAGTTTTGAGCGGGCACCCAGCCGCCTACGTTGTGTCTTCCGTGTCCTTTAGTTAGTTATCCACAGACGCTGACCCCTATTTATCCAATCTGCATATTAACTAAATGACTTAATCTTCTTCCTTTCACAAATTAAGGGGTCACCCGTCCGAGAAAACCGATCTGTGGGTCCGCGCGAACAGCGAGTGGGAGGTTTGCTGAAAGCAGGCCAGAAAGCTTGCAAATTTGACATGTCGAAATCGGCTTGACAGTTCCAGCCGAGATCTAATATGCATCAGTCAGTCTAAAATGACGGATTTGTACTCTTTTCAGGTGACTCTTTCAACATTCGTCCTGAGTTTTAGAATATTTGAAAATGCTGCGGCTTTTCCTAGCAGAGATCATAGTAGTTCCTTTTACCAGTTCATATACAGACAGACTTTCGATTATATATCAAACACCTGCACCGTGTTTCGTATTGAACGAAGTTTTGATAGAAACAAAACAAACCATGAGGTTAAATGGAAATCTTTTAATTCTGAACGTTCCTGCATTATTACTGAACGCTATGCGACTGTCTACGAGAGATCTAGTTTGAACCCTAGGACCCATTAAGCAAGCATGTCCTGTAACCTGATCGACGAACTCTGCTTCAAGGATGTTTACTTTTCCCGACCGCAACCGACAATAAAGTGGTCCACAGGCTTAGCGGTAGAACGCTAAAACTAAAAAACGCTCAGCGACGAAGGAATCCATGCTCGAATTGCAGTTCATCCAGATCTGGAGCGGAGTATGATTGGCTAGCGACGATTATGCCGGAAATAGTAATTTGGTCTCTCTTGTCTTTGTCGACGTTCCTTCTTGTATGATTACTGGTCGTTATGCGACTGCCTGTGAGAGCCCAACGAAATGAATAGTTCCCGCAACCTGATAGACAAACGTCTTTCAACTGTAGCTGAGGATCTGTTATTCTAAATGCGTTCGGTGACGTCGTTTGCGCTAAGCTGCATATTGATCCATTTCTGGATGTAAACGTCGGCCCCGACGCCTTCCAAATTAAGGAAGCTATCAGACAGGCTTGTCTGACTTCTGTACTCAACATTTCATCGAGTCCCCGTCTCTAAAAAGGAAACGTCTGGACACTTTAATCAAACAGGTCGGACGTATACAGCAGGCTTCAGTGGACAAAAATTCTTACTGAGGCCTAGAAAGTTGAGATCAGGTAAGTTACGTCTGTTGCAGCCATAGCGATCGCATTTGGGAAGACGGAGTAAAATTACTCACCGACCCGTAAGCAGGCCGGTTTGCCGAAAGGAAACTTAACCCTATCTATCCGTTCGAAACTCACACCGCACCTACAGGCGACGCTTGAAGCTGTTGAAAGGCTGTATGGCTCACACCTGGAAAATGCTTTTCTAACACTAACTGAATTATCCTCGGTAAGCCCTATGCCATTATCATTGCATAGGATGGGCTATAATGACCGTGGTAGGCTTAACAATTTCCGCCTAACATTCGGGTCATTCAATGGACACTCGACAAGCAATCTGGTCGGGTAATCAGCCCACAAGCTTAATGATCCTCCGCTGGCTTGGCGACTCACAGTGTAGCCGGATACATCGACGTCATCATGCAACTCGGGTAGTGGTAGACAATTAGAAACAGAGTGTATTAATAAGATAAAAAAAACTGGAAAACTCAGTTATGCCTGATGCTGGCAATGGACAGCAGTCATACCTGTTCAAAACGTCGAGCGGTTTATAAGCTTTTATTAGAGATCGCCTCTTCCTTGATCCGGCACAGCTCAGTGTATAAATAAGGATGAGCAATTCCTGTGAAAATCTAATGTAAAACACGACGACCTACCATCAACAGTGCACTACTAACACTACGTAAGTAGTCAAGGTAAATTTGGCTTAGGTGCGTGTTTTCCATCAATAATGTATAGATTTTTGACGGCATGAATC